GGAGGCTCTGCCACTGAGCCAGGGTCTCGAGTCAAGGTCTTCCTCATCACCTTCTCCCTGGTTCTTTTAACTGGAGATGCCAGGGATTGAACCTGGGACCTTCCGCATGACAAGCAGAGGCTCTGCCACTGAGCCAGGGTCTCGAGTCAAGGTCTTCTTCATCACCTTCTCCCTGGTTCTTTTAACTGGAGGTGCCAGGGATTGAACCTGGGACCTTCTGCATGCCAAGCAGAGGCTCTGCCACTGAGCCAGGGTCTCGAGTCAAGGTCTTCCTCATCCCCGGCCTTCTCCCTGGTTCTTTTAACTGGAGATGCCAGGGATTGAACCTGGGACCTTCTGCATGCCAAGCAGAGGCTCTGCCACTGAGCCAGGGTCTCAGGTCAAGGTCTTTCCCATCACCTCCTGCCTGGTCCTTTTAACTGGAGATGCCAGGGATTGAACCTGGGACCTTTCATATGCCAAGCAAAGGCTCTGCCACTGAGCCCACAAGCCCCTCTTCCATCCCTCAGCCTAGGCAAGCAGCCCAGCCAGCCGGGCCTGACTCTGCCTCTAGCCGGGAGACAACAATACCTTTCTGGCATTCACAGCGTTGCTTATGCTTTGTCCCGCTTTTCAGAAACCATCAAACGGGAAAAGATGGACGTCTCGGATTAAACGCCCTCTCCTTCGACTCCTGGATCCAGCACATGAACACCCAAACATGCACTGATCGTTTTAATTCTTGGTCATTGTTTCTGGGTTTATTTTTTCCCCTTCCTCCCGGACTCGCTGAAAGCCGTCGGGCAGGGAGGGGAGCGTCTTTCTTTTTTTATTATTATTATTATTTGTCTCTGTTCAGCCTGTATCCGTGAGCAGTGTTCGTCTCTTTCGATGTTCCAGATTATCGACACCAGACCATCCCCGAGTGATCAGTTGTACAGTGCCTGCCACTTCATGCGTGTGCGTGTGGGCGTATGTGTGTGCGTGCGTGCGTTTGGGGGAGGGGCGGGGGTAAGGACAATGTTTTTATTATGCATTGTATTGGAAAAATTAATCTGCCACTTTGTACAAGTGGAAATTAACACTTTATGTAGTTTTTATATGTTGTAATATTTCTTCCAATAAATCTCTCCTATAAATTATGCAAAGGGGCATCCCCGACTTCCTTTCGGTGAATGATTTTGCCTTTCTCGTGCATTTGGCTGCAGGGCCGCGGTGGCTGAGGGGTTAAGATGCTGAACTGCAGACCGGAAGGTCGGTAGTTCAGCAGTTCGAGACCCGAGTGTGCCGCATGATGGAGTGAGCTCCCGTCTCTGGTCCCAGCTCTTGCCAACCTAGCAGTTCGAAAGCAAGAAATTGCAAGTAGATAGATAGGTTGACGGTAGTTAGAAACGCCGTAAAGTAGCAGAGACTCTGTTTCAGTATGTACAGAGTATTTACACTTTATTTACACTGGACACTGGAACATATATACAGTCCTTCTGAGTCAAACTCACTGTTCAAACTGACAAGGTGCTACGCAGGCAAACGATCCCACAAAAGAGATGTGTAGCACTGTACAAGTCACAATATATGTGTACACTGACCAATCAGGACACAGCAATGAACATTTAGCTGACTCATGGTGATTATGGCAGAGTCTGATGCAATCTACCAGTCACCGGACTCCTGACTGTCACTTTAGATCAGATAGATCTAACACTGCTGCTCATGGCTGACTGACAGCTTGCCAGTAATATCTCAAATACTGATTCAGTGGGGAGGTAACAGCGTTCCGTGCCCCTCGGCGTCTAGTCACGCCGGTCACCTGGCCACGGAAACGTCTTTGGACAGCGCTGGCTCTTCGGCTCGGAAACGGAGATTGAGCACGGCATCCCTAGAGTCGGATCCGACTGGCTTTTGAGCAAGGGAAACCTTTACTGTGGGTTTGGCTATGATCCCTGTCGGACTGAGACCCAGCAATGAACCCGCGAAGCTGCCTGACACGGAGTCTAGCCACCGGTCCATCAGGATCAGCATCGCCTACTCAGACTGGCAGCAGCTCTCCGGGGTCTCTGCTAAATGTCTTTCCCATCACCCACGGCCTGAGCTTTTTAACTGGAAAGGCTGGGACTTGAACTCGGGCCCTTCTGCATGCAAAGCAGATGCTGTACCACCGAGCCACAGCCATCCCGTGCTAATTAAGTAATTATCACAAGGCAGTGGGTGTGGTATAGCCAGGACTCGCAGGGCTCTTTTTGTAGAAAAAGCCCAGCAGGAACTCGTTAGCATAAAAGGCCATACCCAACAGCAGAACCCCATTAGCATATTAGGCCACACCCCTGACAGCACTGCTCATTTGCATATTAGGCCACAACCCCATGTTACCAGAAGTGTCATCCAGCCACACCCACCTTTTGCTTCTTATTCTCTTTAACTTGTTTGTTGTCAAAACCCAGGGCTTTTTGCATGTTAGGCCACACACCCCTAATTGTAGCCAATCCGAATGAGTTTCTGTTGTTGGGTGTGGCCTATTATGCTAATGAGTTCCTGCTGGGCGTGGCCAACTCGGGAGCCAGCCGGAACTCCGTTCCTGTGCGTTCCTGCCCCAAAATAGCCCTGGCCAGGAGATCCGAGGATTGTCTGTCAGCCTGAAACTCTAGCTCAGGGGTGTCGAACTCATTTGTTATGAGGGCCGGATCTGACATAAATGAGACCTTGTTGGGCCCCTGGGCCATGTGTGTCATAAAAGGTAATGCCAGGCAGCGGAGATATAAACTTTATAAAGGACACAGACAAGCACAATTAAAGATTTTTTAAAACTTTAAATAAAACATTTCCAGTGAGTTTGACACCCCTGCGTCCTAGCTCTTTTTGTGGGGAGCTAGGTTTATTTTGGGGGGTGAGAGAACTGTGACTGACCCAAGGTCACCCATCTGGCTTCAAGTGGAGGAGTGGGGAATCGAATCCGGTTCTCCAGATTAGAGTCTGCCACTCTTCACCACCGCATCAAACTGGCTCTCCCATCCCATGCTGATTTGTATATACATTCCCGTCTCCTGACAACACACACAGCTTTGGCAGAATATAGCTGGCTTTTAAAATATGCCAGAGAGCCAGTAGGGAAGGTTGCATTTGCCAGCTCTAAATTAGGGATCCTCAGATGTTTTGAGCTTACCGTTCTGCTGGGATTCTGACACGGTGTGGCGGGCGCAGTGAAAAATGGCTGCCACTGCTTAACCTTCATTCACAACAGTCGTTGGCTGCCAAAGCAACATTTGCACAGTCAAATCTCCCATGGCCAATCAGAAACCTTGCTGGGCAGAAGCACTGCCTGGCCTTGCCCACTCTCTAAAAACACTGGATCACCCAGAAAGGTGTCAGCAGGTGCCTTGGTGCCCACAGGGGTTATGTTGGGGACCCATGTTCTAGGGTAAGGAGAGATCTTGTGTAAAACGGTGCTCTGGACCCTATCAATGTCTCAATAAACCTATCATTCTCCAGAGAGAATGTTGCTGGGAACTGATTTATCCAGGAGTCTGACAATGTGTAGTTCAGGTACGTTCCTGTTTCTTGATAGTTGTAAGATTAACTGATAGAACGCATTCTTCATGGTCTCCCCAAATTCGGTCCCCATACGCCAGAGGCCTTTCAGCAGAAAGACGCAGACTCCAAGATGCTGTAAATAAAAAAAAAAGGTTTTAGTTCCTAAATCCATAGAATGTTACTGATACCAATTAAAGCAGGGGTGTCAAACGTGATCCAGCCCCTGGAGAGCTTCTATTAGGCCCGCAGTGGAACTGGCTGTCTTCTGCTGCTGCTTTCAGTTCGGCTGCTGCTGCATCATTGTAGGTTTGCAGTTTACAGATACACACCTGAACAGCAAACTCAAGATTGCAACAGCACAGACATTCTGATGCAAGAATTCAGAGCAGGAGGTGTCAGTTATCAGGCACTGTTAAATAAACAAAATATTGCAAGAGTGCTAATGTTCTCAGCACGTTTTTATTTTAAGTTTTTTAAAAAACCCTTTGTGTTTGTGTCCTTTATCAAGTTCCACATGTGCCTATGTGCCAACTACAGCGATCAGGCAGCTATCTGTTGTCTGTTCCAACACTTCCAGTGACCCGCCTGGCATCGTCCAGAGCCTGGCCTTTTCCGTCACGGCTCTGACAAATGAGTTCGACACCCCTGAATTAATGGGTTTACTTGGAAGGCGCTATTGCAATGTACGCTACGGAAGCAAACCATCGGATGCACGACGTGAGTACATGGAGAAAGACATGGATATAAAACTGTCAGAGGCACATGCAAATAGCAGCTAATGCGAGATATATAAATAAGGGAAGGAGATTATGAGTCTACAAAATTCCTCATGTGCCTATGTGCCAACTACAGCGATTAGGCAGCCATCTGTTGTCTGTTCCAACACTTCCGGTGACCCGCCTGGCATCGTCCAGAGCCCGGCCTTTTCCGTCACGGCTCTGAAATGGGCTCCCTGGAGAGGTTTGAGGGGGGGCCTCTTCCTTGGGGCACTGCCAAGCCTGCCTGTTTGCCCAGGCTTTCAAGGGAGTCTGAATTGGCAGACATCTTCAAAGGGGGGGAGAGATTTGGGGTCCATTATTTTATCCTTGGTTTTCACTGGGGATGTTTGAGCTTATTGTAAGCGGCCACATCTTGGTCTTCATGCACTAGGTTTCTGGTTGCGAGGAGTCGTTTGTTTTTAATATAAAGGAACGTTTAAAAATTACAGAAACCAAGCAGCACTTTTAAGGCGCTAATCAAGTTTATTCCAGTATGAAGCATCATCCGTCACACTCCTCACTTTTTCAGAGGTTTCTACCCAGACTGGCAGTGGTTCTCCAGGGTCCCATAGCCAGAGACACTGTGAAATTGGCTCATCCTCTCCTAATCATTTTACTATCCTCTGAGCTCCCGTCTCTAGTTCCAGCTCCTGCCAACCTAGCAGTTCGAAAGCAAGAAATTGCAAGTAGATAAATAGGTACCGCTTCAGTGGGAAGGTAACAGCGTTCTGTGCGCCTTGGTGTTTAGTCATGCCGGCCACATGACCACGGAAACGTCTTCGGATAGCACTGGCTCTTCGGCTTTGAAACGGAGATGAGCACCGCAACCCTAGAGTCGGATTCGACTGGCTTTCGAGCAAGGGAACCTTTACCTTTCCCTTTTTAAAATTTTGAATAAAATAATTTTCAACCATCCAAGGTTGTCTTTACCATGTTAACTGAATTGTGCTGTGTGCACGAAAGCTTATACCCCAAAATAGACTTTGTGGTCTTAAAGGTGCCACTGGACTCAAGACTTTGCTCTGCGGCTTCAGACCAGCACAGTGACCCCAGCTGGATCTAACTAGATGCTCTACCACTGGAGAAGAAGAAGAAGAGATTGGATTGCTGAGCCGGTCGGGTTAGAACGGATAAAAGGAAGTCCTTCTTCACCCAAAGAGTGATGAACACATGGAATTCACTGCCACAGGAAGTGGTGGTGGCTACAAGCATGGACAGCTTCAAAAGGGAATTAGATAAGCATATGGAGCAGAGGTCCATCAGTGGCTATTAGCCACAAGGTATAGATAGGAACTCTCAGTCCAGAGTGTTGGACTGGATGGGCCTTTGGCCTGATCCAACTTTGGCGTCTCTTATGTTCTTATGATTTATACCCTGCTCTTCACTCGGAGTCTCAGAGCGGCTCACAATCTCCTTTCCCTTCCCCTCCTCACAACAGACACACTGTGAGGTAGGTGTGGCTGAGAGAGCTCTTTCAAGGACTGCTCATTTGAGACCAGCTCTGAGAGAACTTGTGACTGACCCAGGGTCACACCAGCAGCTGCATGTGGAGGTGCGGGGAATCGAACCCGGTTCTCCTTGACTAGAGTCTGTGCTCTTAACCACTTCACCGAACTGGCCCGCTGAACCACAGCTCCTCCCCAGGCTCCACCCCCAAATCTCCAGGGATTTCCCCGCCTGGAGCCGGCCACCCTGCCTCCGCGCCCCTCCCCGCACTCGAGGGCGGATGCCGCTTTGAACCCGAAGTCGAGGCAGCGCGTCGCTTTAGCTTTCCTCCGCGACCGCCCTCTCCTCCTTCAGTCCGCGCAGGCCCCGCCCCCATCGCGAAGCCGTACGCTGGCTAAATTTGGTCCGTCAGCGACGCCGTCCGGGAGGGAAGGGAAAAGACTGCGCTTTCCCAGGATTCCCCGCGGCTACGGAAGTCGCTTGGCCTGCTTAGTGGTCGGAGCCGAGGCCGCGTTCGAGGCCTGCCCTTTCCTGCTCGGGCCGGTGCTGTGACGGGCGACGATGCCGACCGGGGACTACGAGTGAGGAGAGGGACGGGGCGGCCGGAGGGACGGACGGAGCTCGTGGGAATGGGGGCGCGCGTGCGGGTTGGTGGAGGACACGTGTCTCTGCCGGGCCCCACCTGGGCAGCGATAAGACGCGGGGAACGTGGGTGGGGGTTTGGAGGAGCCGCACTGGAAGGGGGGGGGGAGCCTAAACTGGGAAATGTCCCAAATTTAAATAAATAATGTAAATATTTAAGTAAGGATAGCCGAATTTAAGTAATATTTATCAAAAGAAGGCAAATGGGTAGTCTGCAAGCCTGGGCTTGGGTAGCGTTGCCAATCTCCAAGTGGGAGCTGGAGATCTGGAATTCCCAGCTGCCAAAGATCTGGAATTCCCAGATGCCAAAGATCAGTTCCCCTGGAGAAAATGGCTGATCTGGAGGGTGGGCTCTATGGCACTGGTACCGTAATGAGGCCTCTCCCGTCCCCAAACTCCACCCCCAAATATCCAGGAATTTCCCACACCAAAGTTGGCAACTCTGCTGTATGAGCATGTCTTTGATTTTTGTTTATTGCTTTACAGAATTCCTGTTTTGCCTTCTTCTTTTTTTGTCCTTACAAGAGCCACCAAGGTGGCTATCAAATTTATTTGTTTGGAAAGGAGGGAAAAAAACAAGTTTACGTGTTTGTATGGTTTATATGGTACCTTTCTCACTGGAACTGGGGCAGATTACACGGAGTGGGTCAGTGCAATCAACACGGTGGGACATTCAATAAACAGCGCAATAGGATTTGGGTTGTAAAACCAACCAGAAGTCTTGAAAACGGAAGCAAAGAGTAACATTAAATGATACAAAATGACACAAAGATAGGGCCCACAGCAAGCTGTGCACAGCCCACAGCCCCCAGGCACAATAAAATCATATTTAGCTCCCCCAAACACTCTGCATCGAAACACGAAACAGAGCTTACATACATATATAGATACAAATACATAAATATGGGTTTTTTTTAATTAATCCCTCTAGCATCATTACTTGCAGCATAAGAGCCCTGACAGCTGTAGGCGAACAGACTGTAGTTATACACATGGGGTGGATATCTTTCCATGGAAAAAAAATATAGCATTAGGAAATGTTCTGTGTTGGAAAACTTTCCACCCCATGTCACTGGGCGGAGGGGGCGAGGCGAAGTGAGGCCTTGTTGAGCTGGAAGGGAGAGAGTGCAAGTGAAGTGGAGGAACAGGATGGCCTAGTCCTTCCCGAGGTAGTCTGGTGATGGTTGGCCCTCCGTCTGGCAGCTGGCAGCTCACGTGCCTGAAAGTTCCTCCAAGCAAAAGCAGTTCCCTGTATGCAGAGAGCCCCTGAGTCAAGGCGGCCAGCCTTCCTTTCAGGCCGGTGTTTTTTTTGTGTGTGTGTGTGTGTTGACTATATGGGTTCCCCCTCCCGTTATGTGGACTCAGTGTAGAACAGGGGTGGCCGAACTTGCTCAACGTAAGAGCCACATAGAATCAACGTCAGAGGTTTGAGAGCCGCAAGACAGGAACAAAGATTACACACACGTTTTTAATCTTTAAAATGTGCACATTTGCTTTTTATTAACATTAAATGAGACTGCCAAAAATAAAAACAAAAGGCGTAAAAACAGGTATTTATAACGATAGTTATTTGTCCAATGATATTTATTTGTTCGCTGATGAGACTTACGTGTCTGAGAGAGAGAAAGAGAGGTGGAAAGAATGAAAGAGGTGGAAAGAGAGAAACAAGGAAAGCAAATAAATGGGGAGAGGGGGGAAGGGCGAGAGAGAGAGAGAGAGAAAACAAAAAAAGCAGATGGGAGGGAGAAAAAGTATGCCTCCACTTCCCCAGCTGCCCTGCCGGGAGCCACACAATAATAATAATAATATTAATATTTCCATTTATTAATCGCTCAATCCATGCAGAGCTGCCGGCTCTGAGCGATGTACAGTTACTCATGAATTTCACATGGGACTAACAATGCTGGGGGTAAGGACAGACAACATATATCAATTAAATCACACACATATTTTCGTAGTCACCAGAGATAGTCAGCAGCACAATATGTGTGAAAGAGCCGCGTGTGGCTCCTGAGCCACAGTTTGGCCACCCCTGTAGAAGAAAAGAGGTGGTGAATGGCTAGAAAGGGGTCGGGAGGAGCCTCTTCCGGGATTTGGGGGGGTTCAGAAGGGAGGTGCCTGAGAGCAGACCCTTAATCACCTGCCTCTCTTTCAGCTCCAAGCCCAGCTGGGCGGACCAAGTGGAAGAAGAAGGAGATGATGGTGAGAAACTGCATTTGCTGGTGGACGTGTGTGTGTGTGTGCGTGCGGAAAGCGACAGAGTAACCGCAGCGCTCCTAGCCCCCACCCTCCTTCCCTGCAGAAACTCTTCAGAGAGATGATCATGTCCTTCATTGGCCTGATTATCTGTGCACAGTCAGGAAAATTATGACGAGGGCCCCGCTGAAATACATTTTCTTTGGAGGACCATGTGTCTCCATCCAGGGGCATGGGTTCCAAACCTTTTTTTTTTTTTTGCTTCACTTCGTCCTCCCTGTTTGCTTCTTCAGCTTTCTACCACAGTGCATGGGAACGGACCAGGGGTGCCAGCCTCCAGGGCCTGGGAATCTTCTGGGTGCATCGAGTGCCCACCCGTTCTTGCATTGTGAGAAAGGGAGGAAAGGACTTCTTTCTCTCCCTTCTCTCTCCCGTGCATAATTTTGTAAACCTGTCACCCCTCATTTGAAGAAGAAGAAGAGATTGGATTTATACCCCCGCCCTTCACTCAAAGTCCCAGAGCGACTTCCAAACTCCTCTCCCTTCCCCTCCCCGCAACAGACACCCTGTGAGGTGGGTGGGGCTGAGAGAGCTCTATCGACGACTGCTCTTGAGAAAACAGCTCAGAGAACTATGGCTTGCCCAAGGTCATCCAGCAGCTGCACGTGGAGGAGTGCGGAATCAAACCCAGCTCTCCCAGATTAGAGTCCGCGCACGTCACCACGACACCAGACTGGCTCTCCGAGCTAAAGAGCCCTAACCTCTCTAACCTGTCTTCATAGGGAAAGTGTGCCATCCCCTGAATCATTTTAGTTGCTCTTTTCTGCACCTTTCCCAATGCTACAATATCTGTTTTGAGGTGCGGTGACCTCGCCCTGGAAATAAGAATACTGTTTGCCCCTCTCCCCTGATTTATTAAAGGAAAGCAGAAGCATTGTCTAAACCGTGGTCTCCTTCATTAGAGTCCCACAGCTGATGCCCCTTTGTTTCCCCACACAGACAAGTGCATCACCAGTGAACTGCTGAAGGACATTCCCCTGAGTGGGGTGCTTAGCGGAGGGGCGCCTAGCGGAGGGGCGCCTAGCGGAGGGGCGCCTAGTGGAGGGGCGCCTAGCGGAGGGGTGGTTAGCGGAGGCCGGACCGCTGACCCAGACCTGGTGAAAGGAGGTAAGAACTGCCCCCCCCCCCCCCCCGGGTTTCTATCTTGGGAAGGGGCCAAACGCTGGGGGTGGCGGAGGCCGTCCTCATCCCCCGTTTCCTCCCATTTTGCTCACAGAGCCCCTCCCGTCCCCCAAGGAGCTTGTTAACGGCAATATCAAAACGGTGACTGAATACAGGGAAGAGGAGGACGGTAACAAGGTGAAGGTGAGTGAACCGTCTCTCTGCACCCACGTGGCTCATTTCTGTCCCGATTTGAAGCCCCCGCTCCCGATAGGCTTTCCCGCCAGCCTCCCCCCGGTTCCGACAGGGGAGACGGTCTTCCGGCAGAGCGAGGCAGTCTCGGCAAACGAGAAAGGTTTTGGGGGTGGACCTTGTAAGCACGGCCGGGCCACAGCCTCTTGGGAGGAGACCCTGAATGCTGACCTTGAGCGAGGAACAATGGCGAGCATTTCCGGGAGCGTTTTGTTTCCCACTCAATTCTCGCCCGTGAAGCGGCTTTATAGCTAGACCCTCGGTCCCTTGAGGTCAGTCTTGTCTACTCAGATTGGCAGCTGCTCTTCAGGGTCTCGGGCAGAGGTCTTTCCCATCGTCTGCTGCCTGGCCTTTTTAAGGAGAGATGCCGGGGATTGAAGGTGGGACCTCGTCCAGGTCACGCACATGGTATATCCCTGAGTCACGGCCTTTCCCCAATCTTATGAACCCATTTGAAGCCACCTTATACTAAACCAGACCTTCAGTTCATCAAGGTCACTGTCGCTTACCCGGACGGGCAGCTGCTCTCCAAGGTCTCAGGCGGAGGTCTTTCCTGTCACCTGCCTGGTCCTTTTAGCTGGAGATGCCGGGGATCAAACCTAGGACCTTCTGTGTGCCAAGCCAGAGGCTCTGCCACTGAGCCACAGCCCCTCTCCAAAACACAGTGTGACCAGCTTGCTGTTGTGTTCGGCAGATCATTCGCACGTTTCGGATTGAGACCCGGAAGGCGTCCAAGGCCGTGGCAAGGCGAAAGGTGAGTAAGGAGATGAGGCTGGCCCCTCCCCTCCCCCAGCATGCAAAGATCTTGTTTAAGTAATTCCCACCCCACTTAAACTTACAGTACAGTGGAAAGCTTAGAGCAACACAAAATACAGACAGACACACACAAAGCTGCCTTGTACTAAATCAGACCCTGGGTCCATCATGGTCAGTATGCTTTCTGGCAGCTGCTTTTCAGGGTCTCAGGCAGGGGTCTTTCCCATGGGACCTGGGACCTTCTGCATGCAAGGCAGAGGCTCTACCTCTGAGCCAGGGTCTCAGGTCAAGGTCTTTCCCATCACCCACTGCCTGGTCCTTTTAACTGGAGATACCAAAGATCAAACCTGGGACCTTCTGCATGCAAGGCAGAGGCTCTACCTCTGAGCCAGGGTCTCAGGTCAAAGTCTTTCCCATCACCCACTGCCTGGTCCTTTTAACTGGAGAAGCTAGAGACTGAACCAGGGACCTTCTGCATGCCAGGCAGAGGCTGTACCTCTGAGCCAGGGTCTCAGGTCAAGGTCTTTCCCATCACCCACTGCCTGGTCCTTTTAACTGGAGATACTAGAGACTGAACCAGGGACCTTCTGCATGCCAGGCAGAGGCTGTACCTCTGAGCCAGGGTCTCAGGCAGGGGTCTTTCCCATCACCTCCTGCCTGGTCCTTTCAACTGGAGATACCAAGGATCAAACCTGGGACCTTCTGCATGCAAGGCAGAGGCTCTTCCACTAAGCCACGGCCCCTCCCCTTTAATCGCAAGCATGTGATTCTGCCTTATACTGAATCAGTCTCTAATGCTCAGTCTCGTCTGCCCAGATTGGCAGCAGTTCTCCAGGGTCTTAGAAAGAGGTCCTTCACATCACCTCCTGCCATATCTTTTCAAGCGGAGATGCCGGGAAGTGCGGAATCATAGACTCCCAGAGTTGGAAGGGGCCATCCAGGCCGTCTAGTCCAACCCCCTGTTCAATGCAGGATCAGCCTCGAGCATCCCTGACCAAGTGTTTGTCCAACCCAGGACCTTCCGCCATGCTAAGTGGAGTGGCCCTTCCGCTGAGCCGCAGTCCCTCTCCATACCAGTTTGCGGTCATGGTTTTTGATAGGAAGGTCTCGCATGCTTTCATGAACGTGAAGCCTTCCTGTTACTTTCCGCGCGGTTGGAGACTCCCTGTAGACTGTTGCATCGTCTTGGCGGCTTGTTTTCATCCCTGCTCTTTTCAAAGGGGAATCTCCTTTGCACTTTTCCCTGTTGGGCCTCTAAGGCACTCGTTCGGCATACGCATGCTTTCATGAACGTGAAGCCTTCCCGTTTCTTTTCCACGCGGTTGGAGACGGGAGCACCAAGAATCCCTGTAGACTGTCGCATCGTCTTGGCGGCTTGTTTTCATCGCTGCTCTTTTCAGAGGAGAATCTCCTTTGCGCTTTTCCCTGTTGGGCCTCTAAGGCACTTGTTCGGCACATTGAGGTCCTTCTAGGCTTTCTGATCACGAGGAAAGCTGGAGGCTCCACTCTTGTTCTTCTGTTCCACAGAACTGGAAGAAGTTTGGCAAATCAGAATTCGATGCTCCGGGCCCTAACGTGGCCACGACCACCGTGAGCGACGACGTCTTCATGACTTTCATTACCAGCAAGGAGGTGAGTGCCAGAGTGAAGGGGAGAGACTGTGGCAGTCCTGATTGATTCCCGGCTACGGGCCCGCCCCAGGAGGAATCGCCGGAGGTCGCCGTGACTTCCACGCATGGACACACACGCACACGCGCACACACAAATGCAAAAATACCCAAACCAGCGCCTTGAGTTGAGCTCACGAGCAAATTAGTGGTCAGTGTAGTCGTCGTATTTTTGCACTGTGAGGCAGAGATCAAGCACTCCGGCTCCCCTTCTTCCCCTCGCGCGCAAAGAGGCGCATTGCAAGACCTAGCCAGCAGTAGCAGGGAGCATAAACGCTATGTAGCCCTAAACTGCCCTAAAATAGAAACTTTATTAACAATACTATACTATCAGATGTCTAAAAGACGATAAATGCTACAACGTAAACATGCAGCAAAAAAAAATTCGTAAATGATACCCGGCTCATAACTTTGAACTACCCACAAAAGGAGCCATGTGGTACAAATCAATGTATAAACAATTGCAGGGACGTTGTGAACGTCTTCATAAATAACGCGGCTCCAGACTCTGTATATGCAGCCGTGGAATCAATAATACACATCTGTTGTGTGACAGGGATTCCGGATGTGACCTTGTTTTGAGATCTTTTTCAATCGTGTCTGGTGTATCAGTCAATGTACTGTATCACAAAAAGGACAATTTCACATGATTATCATGGACCCAAAAAGGGTTCACAGCAATGCTCCCTCTAAGCCAGTTTGGTGTAGTGGTTAAGTGCGCGGACTCTAATCTGGGAGAGCCGGGTTTGATTCCCCACTCCTCCACTTGCACCTGGCTGGATGACCTTGGGCATGCCATAGTTCTGATAAGAGCTGTTCTTGAAAAGGAGCAGTTTCTGTCAAGAGCTCTCTCAGCCCCACCTCCCTCACAGGGTGTCTGTTGTGGGGAGGGGAAGGGAAAGGAGATTGTAAGCCGCTCTACGACTTTCGGGTAGTGAAGGGTGGGGTATAAATCCAATCTCTTCTTCTTCTAAGCTGTGGAGTCTTGTGAGCAAAAATCCTACTTTGTGAGCTCCTGGCATTAAAGTGGTGAGCAAGCGATTTGGCTCCTGCATAAATCAGTTTGCTCTGGAGCCCTCCTTCCTGAGCCGAGACCAAAAATGTGTGAGCCGGAGGCTAAAAAACTGTGAGCTAGCTCACGCTAACTCGGCTTCGAGGGAACACTGGTTCACAGTCTGGTGTATAACGATCCCCGTAAACAGGCTCCCAACTAGATCCTATTAACAAAGATGATAACTCAGATGCGACTACTGTAGTTGGAGTCCGGCCGTGTGGCCCTCGGGCGGTTGGGGAAACGGGCTTTCGGCCACTCACCCGCTCATCCAGGGGTCGTTTCGTAGAAAAAGAGCTAGGGGGACTCATTAGCATAACTCATTAGCATGTGTCACACCCCCTGACATCATAAGGCCCGGCGGTGGACCTGCAAGGCCGGCGGGAGTGCGAGGAAGCCCCGCCAAGGCCCTCCCTGGCCCCAGGCAGGCAGGGGTGGGGAGAGGCAGGGAGGAAGCAACTTACCCTCCCTCTTCTCCTGCCTCCTCCTGGCTGAATGAGGGCCGGAAGCGAGGCGGC